GTAAATTGATATAAATAAAAAATAGGATTTATTAAATTCGGATAATTCTAAATCCTTGGTTGACGAAATTTGTTTCTTGAAAAACTGTATGGTTTGTATGGGCACAGTGGAGCGTCGAGAAGTGGACTGTATTGAATTGTGCAAACAGAAAAAATTGTGTATGGATACAGCACCAAAATAAGCGAAAATCGTGGAAGCGGCGGACTGTTCGGCGAGCAGGGTGAATTCCCGCAACAAGCGCACACTGGCTGGCCAATATTAATTATGCCTTTCTTTTGAAATACAATTTCACTGTTCACGGAGAACTTTTTTTGTACGGAAATATTAGTACAAGTTTAGAATGCGTGTGTGTTTAAGTGGCTGCACATAGGCCTCGACCGTTGGCAAGTGGATGAACAACGGGGAATCGAAGCGACGGCGAGGAGGATGGCGGCGCACACAAAACGGATACGGATGGAAAATTTTGAAGTTCGGAGGCGAATAGAAAGTGGAATTTCTCACTGCCGTGGTGTCAGGAAAACTCGGACGGGGAGTTGACACTAACAAAACAATAAATTTTGCAGCGGTGCGACCGAAATTAAATGTTTGGCCCACTGTTGAAGACCGGCAGCGAGAACAAGACGGAAGCAAGCATATACTTATCTCAGCGGAAAAATCACCGGGAACTGCTGGTGAAAGGACGGAAGGATATCCGTATCCGGCTCGGAGGACCATGAAAAGGAGGGGGCGATCCTGCCGCTAAAGATCCTGTATTGGAAAGTAGCTCCCGCGACGCAGTCGGAAAACATATAACCCGTAGTGGTTAAATCATAAGTCGGTGGCGTCGTGGAGCTCGAATAATTGTTTCCGCTTTATTACGCTTCATACATAGAACTAATTAGCTTAAATGTAAGGGCTGCGCTCCCGACCGATAAGCTAAGCTTAACAGTGCGAGAGCGGGCCCGAGAAGTGGAGTGCGAACTAGCCGTTCCTCAGCTCGCCTAGCAGCGAACGAAGCTCGGGAACTCGGGAGCGCTTAGATTAGCCCGATGAGCAGTGCGCGAAGGGCCGACCTGCGGGAGTGCAAGAGCGGCAAAGCTTTGGAAGCTCGGTGGACAGAGGCGGCGTCGCGAAGGGCCTCCTGACGTGAACACGACCTTTCATTTCACCACTTCATGATACGCTGTAAAGTTGGGCCCAAGTTCACAATGGCGTTGAGAGCTGCTGGTCAAAAATGTAAATAAACCTAATCATCGACACGAATGCCACACTCATGTCTATCTGCGGGGTGTTTGCTTATTATTAAATTGACAAAATAATTAAATAAAATAAAACAAAATCAAAACAAAACATTGCTGCACGCAGCGTACACTGCGCCCTGAGATGTGCGTAATCAAAAAACTGGGTCTTCGGCCAGATGGGGGTTTTTCCGCCGCCACTCGTTGATAATAGTTTAGTCATAAGGCGATGTATCCGATCTACATCGAATCTCTCACATGGCTTGGATTCTTTGGAGCACTCTGGTCTTCTTCTTGGTTGCCCAGTTCGCATCCGCCATGTGGCAGGTTACGTAACCGGGCGGCTGGAGGTTAAGTCTCCTTTTGGCCGCGGGCTATGAATCGTTTGAGCCAATTATGAGCCGAAAATTGTCGCTGTGTTGCGGAATTGGCTTGAATAAAATATTCGAAAACAGAGAAGGGCTGTTGTCGGGGACTCCGCCACCGATACGCCGCCTTTGAAGCTGAGCCCTACGGAAATCTGCATTAATATTGGGATTTACAACACGGTACTTAATTACCTTATGTTCACACACAAAACGGCCTTTGATAAACATGTATTTTCTCGATTTAATAATGTATAGAATGTTAACTTTGAGACACGTGTGTAAACACAACAACAACGTATAAACACAAACGTTCGTCAAGAGAGAAAAAGAGAATATTGATTAGGGCTTAAGGAAGCTGCAAGCAGGTAAGCTGCAGTTTTGGGCTTTCCTTATCTAACTGTGTAATCATACGATCGTAATCTAATGTGATTGGTCTTCGAACGCTTCTTTAGGTATTATTAATTTATTCATTGTGAAAAAGCTCTTATCATTTGAGTGCGAGGGTAGGTTGAAAAGTTCCGCATTGCTTAAAGCTTTGCTGGACACTACACCATGCATAAGGCCATCCCTGATCGACATAGTTTTCTATCCAAAATTGGTCACCGCATGAAGCAAAGTCCAACTGGGCGGCTACTATACATTGAACTCCTCCAGTCTTTGGTTTCGTAACTGGTATTTATGGCTTTCCTAGCCTCTTTCCTTAGCTCGTTAAGCTCTTTGTTCCACCACTGTGGTTATGTCATCTAGGAGTGCAGACTCATACACTACACGACTCCTTGTACGCGTTGTTGAGAGTGTTCGTGAAGTCCTCGATGTCCTTGTCGATTTCTTCTGGGATGGATCAACGTTGATCCTTCTGTTTTCAATTTGTGACCGTACATTATTTCCATATATGACCCAGACTGTGCTGCCGGCATTGTATTTCACTGCTGTATCGGCATCAAGATTTTGAAGACTATACCTTTGCACAATGGGGCGACGTACCACCTTATGTGACATTTATTAATATCTTTAAAACGAAGTAAATTTTTTTATCTGTTTTTTTTTTAATCAAGTTAATATTAGGAAAAAGGTGCTTTGAGAAAAATGGGCGTGGTCCCGCTATTTAAGGATGGAAATTTTTTCCGTGTTAAAAACTTGTTTGACTTGTGTTTATACCCTTGCAGGGTATTATAATTTCAGTCAGAAGTTTGCAACGCAGTGAAGAAGGCACCTCCGATCATATAAAGTATATATTCTTGATCAGGATCAACAGCCGAGTCGATCTAGCCATGTCCGTCTGTCCGTCTGTCCTTCTGTCCGTCTGTCTGTCTGTCCGTTTCTACGCAAACTAGTCTCTCAGTTTCAAAGCTATCTGAATGAAACTTTGTACTCTCACTCGTATATATGTCGGAACGGGCCGGATTGGACGACTATATCATATAGCTGCCATAGGAATGATCGAGAAATAATACAATTAAAAATTATAACTTTTTCAGTTTTCAACAGATTTTCATGCAGGTATTACTTCATTGTTTTTTAACATATATATATATATTTTATATTGTATGGGTTCCTAGTCATAGAAGTTCTATCTGCAAGGGTTTATAAAATTCGGCGTGCCGAAGTTAGTTTCCTTTCTTGTTTTATTTGAATTTAATTTTAATATTATTGCAAAATAATATTATTGGGTAAAAATGTTCTATTTACAAAATGTTATTCACACAAAATTACACTTTTCTTTAATTGCGTGGCTCAGGCGATCAACCATATGCAGTGTTTTATGATTTTACACTCTTTATTTAGTGTATTACAATTATAATATTCCACTATTTGTAAAATATCAAAGAACACGCTATTTTCAATAGTAGTAGTTTAGGCTAGTACCTTTAAAGTTAAACTTCAGAGAAAGTGCCCAAAAGTGCACTAGCATCACATAGAAAGAATAGATACCTCAATTTAATGTAAAAAGTTTTATTAGATCAAAGCTATTAAGATTAATACACCAAACTGTTTTCTTTATATTGTTAAAACTTAAAATTTTTTGGGATACCACAGTTAATTTATACATTCCACGATCACCAATACGTATTTCAAATCCAAGAAAATAGATTGGCTGTTAAAAGAATTACACTTAGCTGTTTATACACTGTTTGACACTTTAAACATGCTCAAAATGCTTAAATATCTTTCAACGATTAACCAATAACCTGAGTAATGCGGACGCAAGAGCTGACTTAAAGCCTGTTAACTTAACAGTGCCATGCTCTGTACAATTTTCGTGTACCTAACATTACAAATTGATGTTATTTGAATACATGTAATGTTTATGTAATGAATGTAATTTAACGGCCTCCAAAAAATGTGTTTTGGTCATTTGGAATCTTGTAAGATTGTAGTCGCTGTTTTCCATTAGGAATGCAAAACCTAGGACCTTGGCGTCTCTTGCCTTGGTGTTGCTTGAAAATTGGTTGTGTCGATTGAATAGTTATTTACTTAGCATTTCCCACCGATCTCGACAGAGTTAACGTGTTGTCATCCAAGAATAAGGTGAGTAGGATTGAGTAGGGTACAGACGAAGCAAGGAAACTTCCGACACAGGGTTGCCCGGCCCTAGGTAGGCTCCGCTCAAACACAGCTATATTAAGCACTCAGGTGCGAATCTTATGTCAGAGTCACCAGAGTTTGTATAATTATATTCTTTTTACGCAACCTAACCTCACCAACAATGAAAATTCCCGATTTACTGTTACGGTATACCAGCAATAGATCGAATCGAAATCAGAATTTCAACACTTAAAGATCGGATTCAGTTAAGGGAGTACAGGTTCGGAGCATAAATTAGTAGAAAGCCTGACCATTTACGACACTTGTGCAGTAGTTAATCACTGTCTTCATAAAAGTTTTTCACATTAATATATAATTCATGTGGCACACATTTTTTCTTTAAATATTCGATTGATTCTTACTTTTGTAGAAAATTTGTCATGTTTAAGCTGCTACAAGCATAGAGACCAGGGTTACATTTATTTATTTAACAAAATTAATTAAAGTATACAATGCTAATGAATTTTACGACTACATCTTCTCAAAAAGAAAAAAATCCAAGTTGTTGCAGATTCGAAATCGTCGATAATTTTTATGATTGCAACGGTTTTCGATCCAGATATGCTACGGTGCTTGTCTGTTTCCACGTATCCTAGACAAACGTTGTTTAATAATTTGAGAGGTCAACTTTTTTTGAGGGCAGATTGAAATGTTGTTACTTGGCTAAATCAAATCGGAAATGCTTAAGTTTTTCAGTTGTATACATTTTCGGTTGGTGCTTAATTACTGTACTGTACTGTACTGTATTAACAGTTGTACTTTAACGCTTCATAAATAAACACAAATACACAGAAATTTACGTAAAGTATTAATCCTTTCTTTTTTCAAGTGATGTTGATTACATAGATACTTGGCATGCAATGGAGGACCTTGTCAAACTCGGATTAGTTCGCAGTATTGGGTTGTCGAACTTTAATATGGAACAGATTCAACGAATTATACAGTGTAGCTCATATAAGCCAGTTGTTAACCAAGTTGAAATCTGGCCAGGTTTTTTGCAAAAGGACCTAGTTGATTACTGCCGCTATAATGGAATTATTGTAAATGCACATTCCCCACTAGGTCAGCCAAATAGAGAAAATCATACTCCAATATATTTCTTTTCGGAAGGTATGAAACGGTTGACTAAAAAATATAAGAAATCCGCTGGACAAATAGTCCTACGATATTTGGTATTATATAACATTTTTATTAAATAACTTCTATACTTAACTTTCCTTTATTTTAGGTGGACTACGGTGTTGTACCAATTCCCAAAGCGGCAAATCCTATACATATAAAACAAAACTTAAATATATTTGACTTTAAATTAGACGATGCCGATACACGCTCTTTACGTGGTATAAATCCGAAAAGTCGAATTGTAAAATATGAAAACGTCATGGATCATCCTTTTTACCCTTTTGAACGTGATGATGAAAATATTGAGAAATTGGAAATAGAAGTGCCTGACGAAGATTTGAAAGAAGACAAGGGAGATGATATAGATGAAGAAGGAGACGATTAATATAACTAATTAAAAAATACTGTTAACGAGATTAGTCTACTTAATAATGAATTTGACAACTTCTTGTTTGCTTTTTCTTAAAAATTTATTGAAATCACACATGCCAGAAGAATACAAATTTGTTAAATATTCTTTCCATGGCACCTAAATACCCTATGTTTTATGTACAAATGGTTATATTTGTTTATATTTGTATATGTTTGTATAAATTTTGCAGGGTATTATAATTCTCTCAGTGCTAATTGAATGAAACTTTGTAGTTAGTTTTCTATATACTCTCACTCGTATATATGTCGGAACGGCCCGGATCAGACGACTATATCATATAGATGCCATAGGAATGATTAGAAAATTAAAAAAAAAATTATAACATTTTCAGTTTTCAACAGAATTTGATCAAATTTAAGATACAACCATTATATATTACTAAACAATTTTTAAAAAATTTTATGAAAATCGGACTACTATATCCTATAGCTCCCAAAAAATCAAGAAAACAAGACTTTTTGAGATCTCTTTCCAAGATAACTTTTAGACAGATGTAATCTTATCTGATTTCAGTAAAGCAATTGTCTCTGTTAACCATTCTTTCCTTGTTGGGAAACTCGATTTAATGGGGTTTCCAAGTGATTTTTTAATTGGATCTCAAGAGTAGTATAGAAACGGGATTTTCGGGACCTTTGATGTCGGCAAAAGGGGTAATAAAAATGCAATTAATGGGTTAGCTGTCAAAACATTTAATTGCTTTGAGTAATAAAAATGCAATTAATGAGGGTTAGCTGTCAACCTGTCAATGGATGGGGGTAATAAAGATGCAATTAATTAGGGTCAGTGTATGTAAAAGGACACTTGTGAACAAGTCCCAACAAGGATGTGGATACGAGTGCGAAAGGGAGGGGAGCGATCCCGAGCGATCCCGGAGCGCACGTGTACGTTCCCACGACCCTCACTTAAAGAAAGGGACGGGAGAGGCAATTGAAAGGTCGCACCGCAGCGATCCTGGGCCGCATCGATCCCGTTCACGCACGTGGACGTTGACCCTCAATCCTCACTTAAAAAAGGGATGGGGGTGAAATGGAAGAAGGGTGCTAACGGAAAATTCCACGCCCATGCTCTACTCGATCCTCGAGCGCTCTTGGACGATCACCCACGATCCTCACTTAAGAAAGGGACTGGACTGGAATTGAAGAAGGGTACATGTTTGGAACGGAAAATCCACGCTCTACTCGATCCTGGAGCGCACTTGGACGATCACCCACGACCCTCACTTAAAAAAGGGACGCGGGTGGAATTGAAAAAGGGTACATGTCATGCAACAGAATAACCAAAGTACAACCATATGAATGACGCTCACCACGAGCGTGGATTTTCCCTGTGAGATAGTACATGCTTACACACACCACCACCCCATCCTTTCACAAATTCGAGGAAGGATCACCCTCACCACCCTTTCTTTCATTGACCAAAAGATGTGCCCTTCTTTGGTATGGAATTGTGTCTTTTAAGTGATAGAGTAAATCTGAAAATAAATACTGAAAAAAAAAATCCCCAAGCCTTTTTTCCCAATAAAAAATGGATATATATTTATTTATATATTATAATTTTATTTATCAAATATAAATATCAGAAGCGATGTTCTAAATTAACATACATTTTCATAATTTTTAATGATTTTGAGAGCGAACACTAAAAAATGACAGGAGCACGTATCGAGACCATGTTGACATTATCATTCGCCCAAGAGCAAGATGTGAAATGTTGTCCATGTATATTTGAAACCAGCGGTATATCAGGCATCCTCTGATGGAAATATTTTAATGAATCCTCCAGATATTGCACGTGTTCGGGGAAAATTTTATTCTTATACATTTTCATGAAATTATTTATGCTAATTACAAGTTGATGTATTGTAAAAGAGGTTGTGGATTTGGTTTTGTTTTCCGTCTACTCCCAATGATTATAAAAATTGAATGATCTTATCCTCTAAAATTTTTTAGACGATACGTTGAACTAATCCACTCAATGGTGTATATTCAACTAGTCGATCATGGATGAGAAGGCAATATACCTTTGCTTTCATCTCACTCGCCACACTTAGCTCTGTGGAAATTTTTACATTAATCGGTCCTGATTTTACAGACTCATTCTGGTATGAGAGATCAACAACAACGACAGGAGCCTTCCTTATAAACTTGATGGGGGATAGAAGTGCAGGTGGTTCTCTATTGTAATAGCTCTCTTGGAATTTTGTATACATGTCGTACAAGACGTAATATTCAAATCCTCATAGGGATAGACTTCAGAATTTAAATATACTTTTGCATTTCTCAAATTGTTTGTAATTAGCTGTCCATTTAACGTAAATGCAATGACAGCAAAACGTGGGCGTTCCCTATTTGCAGACAACTTTACATTCCAGATATGATGTGTTCCCTGTACCAATGTTGGATTAATATAACAATCCCAACTCCGGAATGCGAGTGGAGAGTAGCTCCACTTTTCACTACATTAAACATTTTAATTTAGCACTGTCACTTGGAACGATGTGGGGGATCTTCCAACATATGTTATGTATAGCAATATTGTGTGTTTTTCAATCAACTGTTTTAATATACATATCATCAGTGTTTTTTGTAAGCAAGAGAACGAGCTCATGTTTACAATTTAACACTACTTTCTTGTAGTCTTCAGCGAATCCCATCAACATTTTTAAAGGTACAGAAAAGCTGAAATGTCCTCCCGAAGGAATATTGTCTCCACCACTCCACCCGGCATTACGACAAAGAACTCCTTCCTGCTGACCGACTGAGAGAAAGTTCTTAATAGTTGTTGTAATTCCAGTAAACCGTGTCCTATCCAATTCACACCCGTTTAACTCATATCTTATTTCATCTAGAAAATAGGCCATGCAATTATTTTTAAGCATCCCAGTAGCTCCATTTGTCGAAGTCGTTTCTGTATTTGTGTCAATAATTTTGCTAAGTGTTCCCTCAAAGTGGAGAAAACTTCACATGGAAGGACATACAAATCTTGGTTCTGTATTGTGATACGAACTTCATCATTGGCTTGAAGTTTTGTTGATATGGATAATAAGTATGTAGTTCTTTTTAACAATGTTTTCATCAGTGATAGGTTTTTCTTGAACATACAAAATCTCATTCATTTGAATTATTTATTTAATATTAAATCCCAATGATTTTAAAATCAATTTATTTTTAATGTGAGAGTCGGCCGTTGATTTGAAGGACCTCGGGTTGATGATGATGATTTTGAAGATGATGATGCTTTCACTTCAACTGTAGGTTTAATAATGTTATCAAAGGAGCTATGTAACGTCTTTTTATTATAAATAATCATTCTGTTGATCGTAAGTGTTTATGGGGAAGACAACGAATTTGCCACCCTTAAGCAATAATTATAACGCACGAATGGGTTATTAAATGCTGTGTATATTTTCGTTTTCACTTCTCTGGTCGGAGCTGCAACTACCGATCGAATGCTTAGTTTTTAACATATATCAAAACGCTTACAATGTAGCTTAGCATAAAGATAAGGCGACAGAAGAAGAAGAGATAGATAAATAGATAACGAAAGAGAAAAGCTAAGAGCGCAGCAGGTGCAGCCATACACCCATGCGCGCACAATTAGGCGCTAGCGGTCTGCTCCGAACATACTCCCCCGTTGGAAGAGGTACTGTTCAACTATATCGGCATCGTGGGTAGAACGGCTTGATACGCATTTGCGATTTTGTGGCCTCCAATTGGCCAACAACTTTTCCGAAATGGGGTCAAGAAGGCAGCTGGCTTCCTACGGCAGCAAGTGTGTCACCATCAAAATGATTCGTAGGATCCTTGACGACGGCAGCCGAGACAGACTGAGGAGTTGACGCACTCGGCAGCCCTCCAGACACGATCCAACCAAGTTTGGTGTTCTGAAGGGTTGGCAACGCGCTACCCAAATAAATTTGTCCCGTAGCCATTATTTTGAAGAAGAGTCCAGCACCAATTATAAGATCAATCCGCTCTGACCGATTAAAATGAGGATCAGCAAGCGAAATATTTGCGGAATTTTCCACGATGTGGCATTTATGTTAAAATGAGGCTGATAATCAGCGATACTGTCAGTCACAACCGCGGAGAATGAGGCACGATAGCTTGCATCCTGGGATTGCGCTACAATGTCGACTGCCGTATCAGCATTCAAAGAGGATTCTCCAATCCCAGAGACTAGCGTATTCGACTTTCGATAATTCAAATTTAGTTGGTTGCTAGGCGAGAAGTTATAAAGTTTAGTTGAGACGCCGAGTCCAGGATTGCTCGGCAAGGCATAAATTCTCCAGCCTTGTTTCTCAAATATATGATCGCGGTTGGAAACAACACGTAATCAACAGGCAGAATATCTGTGGGGCTTGGTGGAGGGTTCGATGAACGGTGATTAGGTTGGGATGATGAATGCGATGATGAATGCGATAATGCTAATGCTGATGAAAATGATGTTGGCTGAGAGTTGGGAAATGGATCGGATGATAGAGATGAGGCGGTGGATGGTATAGATGGGTCCTGATTAAAATGCAACAATGAGTGGTGCTTCATATGACAGTATCTGCAGTGCGTTGACTTGCAGTGCTGCAAACTATGCCCCTTGCGCAAACAGTTGAGGCACAGGTGCAACTTCTTTGCTTCTCTAAATCGAAGATTCGGGCTCAAACTTAGAAATCGAGAGCATTTGGCAAATAATGATCCCTCGCATCACAAAACGTACATAGGGAAGATTTGAGCTACCAACTGAAGCAATGAAGCTATACCCATGCAGGGCTTTTCCCACCTGCCGGCTTGGTGTTTGCGTTACCAAGGCTTGATCCGAATTTTCCATAATCCTACACCTCCTTTGCAAGAACGACTCCATAGAATCCACGTAGCTAGGTTGTTGATGGACAAATCCTCTTCCATTTTTCCCGCGTCCTCTGATCGAGCTTCCGTGCGACGATGTGAATCAGCAATCCGTCCAAGACTTGTTGCGTAGTGGCCAGGGTACGGATTGCTCGCAGATGCGAATTCATGCA